GGCCAACTTCGAGCTGCCCAAGATAGATTAGTTCGGGAATTTGCTTGGATTTTAATTGATTAAGCACCCCCCGTTAGAGGTGAGTTTTTAATCGTAAACCCTCAAGTTTTCTGCGGTGTGTGAGGGAAGGCAGCGTAATGTCAAAGGGAATTCAGCGTACATACTCTGGCAATAGGTGAATTTAAGCTACATACGTATTCTACATGTGCTATCTTCTAATGAAAATCGGCGATCGTAATGGCAGTCTGAACCTTGGACACTGCAGCTCTGAATAATGATCGGGTGCTCCTATTGAACCACTGGCGCAAATTTCTGAGCCATGATATTCTCCTTCTTCCTACTTATAGATCGTAGTTTAAGTTTCTCAGTATGTAACCCAAATACTCCATATTCCTATTCTGATGATATTTAACACCTCTCATTTTCTACCAGCACGTTGCAGCCGCCTTTCGTTTGTGATTTTGTCTCTCCACTATATACTAGATAGATACATACATACAGATATAGATACTCTCAACATTCTCCTATACACCCACATTTTCAAGGCTTCCACTCTTTTGCACATAGATTCTGTGAGTGCCCATGCTCCTGCTCCATACAAAAGAATGGAGAAGATATAACAACGAGCTGGTCGAGCGCCGAGTCCGATGTTAAGACGTCTGTTACAGAGCAGAGCCTTCATTGTGAAGAAAACATTACTCGTTTGTCTATGCGGCACCTTACTTCCAGACAGTGGTCACCACAGGCGTCAACATGACAGCCTAATTACCTACCTACTATGTTTCTGTAGGTACTTTTTCTAGCTCCTGTCCGTTGCTTAACACGTCGCCAGTGAACGATTGTTTTGTTACGGCCATATATTTTTCGTTTTCTTTTTGTTGATATAGAGACAGTAGCACACAGTTATGGACTAAACTACATACATAATTACATAAAAGTAAAAGGATTAACGAAATTAATATTTCATTTCAAACCATTAAAACAAAAACATTGTTAATATTTAACATATTTATCTACATATCGAAGTTCAACACAACTTTCAGTCAGCACACCAACAACTTCATCTCTTAAAACTTCAAATTTATTACTTACTCGATCGAGATCAAGTATTAAAATCTTCATAATTTGTTAACCATTCGTCGTGTCCGGCGAAATTGATGACCGCCATACAAGGCATGTACGACTTGTATCCATTTTTAAAGCTTTATATTTGTTGTTTTTATAATTCAAATTCAACAGTACGATCGGCTAGTCTGGGAGGGAATCAATTATAATTCCCATTAGATGAGGGCGGAGGGACTGATTTACGAGCTATGGAGAAAAATTCATGCAACTGCACCTTGCTCTGTCGAAGCACAGGTCGAGTGTACTCCATACTAATGCCGCACGCTTAATTGGTGTTTTATCAGACTCGTAATGACCATTGCAGGACTACAACTAATATCGTAATTAACAATGAGATGAGAAAGAACCTTACTAATAAAAAAAATCCATAATAGTTTTTAAGCTAATGACAAAAATAATACACTAGCACAAAAGTAGCCTTTGGTTACACAGGTAAGGAACGAACGCGTGTGACACATGAATAATTCTATATTTACATAAAAAAAAAGTTAAAAGAAGTAGAAAGTTTAAATATTGTAACTCTATCCTATTTACATAGCCCTTTAATACATTGTCAGTTACAAATAACTTCATTGTTTGATGTGAACGTTTTAAAAATAGCAACGAGATAATAGTGCATCAGATTCAGTTGCTGCAGGAATTATAAATGTACACCAATGGCTCGAACTTAAAAAAAAACAAAGGTTCCAAAAGTGAAATTTAAAAAAGTGAAACATTTCAATCGCGCGGCAAGTCGGCAACGGCAAGCGGCAAGGTGACAGCGGCCAGGGTGCAGCGGAGCCGGGAGGGGCCGATCGATGCCGACGTCGTTATTCGGGCGACAGCCTTTGACGACGTCGCGGCCGCGTTCCGTTTGTACTCAATCGGCTCTATATAATTTTCATACATCATCTGACTGTTGCTCTTTGTTAGGAATATATATCGATAAAGAATTACAGATCACTTTTTGCAAATTAATAATATTTAACACTATTTATAGTTACGCGGGAGTAGGCCAATTACTATGTAACGCTGGAAAACTTGAACGCGTATTCCGCCGAACCGAGCGTGCTACAAAAATCTCGCTATTAATCTGTCCAACGAAACGTTGAAACGTTTCATCATCGACTGTAGATCCTCATAGTAGGAAAGCAATAAGTACTCTCTTATATTTTTATGAAATTAAAATAACGACATTCTTAAATGCATTTTTACTTAAATTTTTATTTTGCATGTTTGTATTTCATTGTTTAATTTAAGTTAAACACCGAAGTTTAATTATTTTTGTAAACTAATAGAGCACATTGTACTAACAAGTATTTGCACTAATAATAATATAGCAATAAGTACCAAAGATGCTGTAAGCATATTATAAATAAAAAGGTACACCTAGACTACATTACCAGATACGGATTCAGGGTTGCAGATCAGATCATTCAGGTTTTAGAACTTACGCAAATAATTATACAATTTAAATTTTCATAAAATAAACACCAGCATTTCACCGCAATCGGAACACGCCCGGGTAAGGTCCGCGCCGCGGACGGGTGACTGACGGACGTCGGCACACACTAGCAAATACCGTGTGGGTACACGCACTCACACACCGACTGAGTAGAGGTCAGAGGACACGTTGACACGTTGATGAGTTTGATTGATGGCCCTCCGCAACGGCTAATAAAGATTATATGCTGTGTCAACGAAAATAAACGAGATAAGAAATTTTTTTGGGTAATTTTCAGGTAAGTTTTTTGTACTCAATTTTGGTGACAATTTTTATTATTTAAATATTTATAGAATATCATCATGAAGTATTATTTAATACTCGAGTGTGGTAACCTGAAATATTCTTTAATATTTCACGATGATATATTCGAGTAATTAAATAATAAAAATTGTCACCAAAATTGAGTACAATAAACTTACTTGAAAATTACTGTTGAATTTTTGTACACTGACACAAAAGCTTTTTCACGTCTATCTGAAGTAAATAAGTAAGTAAAGTGTAAGAAGGGTTTTATACTAGCAATGAGTAAATTTGACAATGCACTTGATAAATCGCATGAAACGTGCTAATCCAAACAATGCCTTTGAAAATATGAACCTTCATGTTTCATTAGTACTGAAAAGCTTAGTAACGTTAAAAGGTACGCAGTTTTTCGCTTAACACCTTTAGCTGTGCGTGCGAACGTCACCTAATCAAAGAGTTAAAATAACAAAAGCGACAACAATAGGGGAAAATCAATACATCACGTCGACGTGCAAAGAATAAAGAAAGCAAATAAAGGGAAAATAAAGCGGAAAGCCGCAGAAAGACAGGCGAATAATTAAAAAGTTCCCCGAAGGCGTAATGACAATGATGACGTTAACGACACAGCGGTCGTTTGTCAGCTGTCATTTGTCAGCTGTTTGTCAGATACAATGGTGTCAGGCGGCGCGGGGACGATTGACGCGTGTCACTGACGACACCTACCACTGACTCTCGATTGTGCCAAAATCTGCAAAAGCTGACCTAGCAGTCCTTCTAACAAGAAAAGATTCTGTTCGATTTGAAGAACTCTTGAAATCGAATAATTCTGATTCTTTTCCTGAATCCAGGGCATTTTTCTATTTCTACTGTTATCAATAAATACGTCGTTTTCGTTCGTACTGTTCGTGAATGTCACAAAAATGTTTGTTCGTCTTCAATAATTTTACTATCGAGTCGCATTCGGAAGGTTTCGGGGTAGTGGTTGTGATTCGACAGGTGAAACGGCAATATTAATGACTCCTGATTCATACCTAGCCCGTCCTTCGTTTCCACCAGTCATCCAGCTTGTCCACGGCCCTTTTAATCTGACTAAGCGAGTGAATGAGTATATTATGTTTAGGAGTTGGAGTGTCTTTCACTAAATTCCCTTCAATTGTACGTTCATTATTAAAGATTTAAATTTTATTGCGCCAATTAGCAGGCAACTTAAGGGATCGGTGATTGCTTAAAAATTTACGAAAAAAAGAAACTAGTTCTTAAGTTATGGAAGTAACGAATAGCATGCATTGCATTATTTCAAAGTCTCTATGACAAAGTGAAAACAATTTGCTATCGTGTTTATAGAGCTCGAAGGTCTCAGCGATTTCTTAATCTATTATCATACTGCAGCAGTTTGCAATGGAGTTGTCTGCAAAACAATGAAGTTAATTTATAACTCGATTCAAATTAACGACCATAGATCACCTTATGCTAATCCGCGAAGTTCCGTAGCAATGAGCTGTACAACTTGCATATATTATCGGTCATCACGAAACAGCTGAACGTAGCAAGCCCCGATGCTCTAGTAGAAAAGTAAAGGTAACAGTCAAACGATGACTTTGTATTTTTGTGGAAAACAGTGATCTGCTTGCATCCCGTAACTTAACATACCATAACGGTTTTCAAAATGTTCATAAAAATTTGTGTCTACGTGGATTTTAAGGAGCTCATTATTTACGACTATTGCCTACTTAATATGTTCATGTATTCGATCTGTAGGCCTTCATATCATGTTTCACCAAACTCAGTTCAGATAATTAAAACACAAACTCATGGACAATTCCTCAAGAATCGATTAGTGGTAAAGTAATTCGCATATTTATGGTCTGGCTGTGACGGGCACGTCAGGTTAATATCCACGTGCCACGCGATTAACGAGTTATTCCATCGGCGACGATGGCACCAGCTACCCCTGAACGCCTCCAAATTAGCCGACTTGCCTATAAAACAACCTTGACGATTTGATTAGTACATAAAGTGACGATATTTTTCTTCGTGATACACAATATACGTATAATTCCATTGAAGTATGGAATTATGTTAAATTAAAATTTTAATAACGTTGAAATGCTTTTATAGAAATTTTAACTATATTTTCTACTTCTAGATGCTATCACCTCGAGACGATGATGACGACGACAGTCACCTCTGTATCAAATGTAACACCACCATCGTTGGTCTTGAGAACTACGTCAAGCATAGAAAGGAGCGATGCGGAAAGAAACGTGAAAATAAGACGGATCTTCCCACAATAGACACTTTAGAACCTTCTTACAGTCTCGGAGCAGATGTTTTCTTTCAATCTTTGGAACTACAGAGCAGCGTCAAAAAAACTTCTCTTGCGAGACTTACTCCACCTATTCCAATAACGAAGCCCACCGTTGATAGAAAGAACTCTTCAGTAATTGCTTCAACTTCTCGTGATCTTCCAAGAATGAGCCCATTAGAAACCAACTTAAGAGGCGAAGATTGGATTGGAGGGCATAGTTTAAGAATGAAGATAGATGGTAGTAACGAAGATAACCAAACAAAATTGATAAACGCTGTAGCTAGTATCAGTGGGGTAGCTAAGAAAGAAATTCCAACTTCTTCTTACAGTATCACATCGTATCACGATTATAAAGGGGATGATGACTCCGAGGAGTCAGAAGAATCTGAGGATGATGATGAAGATGAAGTTCACGCAACTGGAGGGAAGTGGAAACCACCCCCTAATTATACTGGTGGTAAATGGAGACCCGAATCACCAGAACATGAAGACTGGGATATAAGAGAAGATCAGGAACATTCTGGAGGAAAATGGAAACCTATAATGCCGGACTCACATGATAGAGACGATGATTATGATGCACCACCACCTAGCTATACTAAAGGTAAATGGGTCCCAGGCGCTAATGAAAAAACTCAAATAATGCAAACGACAATACAAAACAAAGGCTCGGTACAATATTGGTGTGGTCCCTGCAACAGACGTCTCGGTTCAAGAGCCATTTACGAAAAGCATCTCATGTCAAATTTACATATAAGAAATGTTCTCCCAGAACATGAATTAGAATTTTCAGGTCATTTAGAGCCACTGCGCATTGTGGAGAAACGAGCAACTCGACCATCAAAATATCTAGATAGTGCCGTATACTCACAGTCGCAACGAAAGAAACGCACAAGTGGTCCCAAAGTCCTTATTCCTATGGAAAACAAAAAACGAAAGAGAAAACCCCATTATGTTCAATGCTCCGGTTGTAAATCTCGCGTAAGACTTCATCTAATGGGAAAGCATTTGATATCGCATTATCATTTTAGAAAAGCAACTGAAACGCGAAGCCCTGCCTACCAACAGCTGATTTTGGACAACATCGATGCTATAGTTCATCAGTCACCATTCCAATGCAGTCCTTGCAAGTTTTACACTAATTGGTTGTCAAGTTTCATGCAACATTGGTATTCTGAAGAACATGAACAGCACGTGCAATCCATATACGGAAGATGCTGGTGCTCTTTTTGTAAGTTTGAATGTGATTCAAGTCAAGAAATGCTAGATCATTTGTCCAGTTCCGAACACTCTGAAGTCGTCGCAGTCATAAACAGATCCATGCCAATTATAATCAGGAAAAAAACTATAATTAGTTGTGAAACTTGTCACAAAGAATTCCGGTACAACATGGAAGTGAAAAGACATTGCAAGCAGACTGGCCACAAACTTACTTATTCGGCCACCGATGATTATCAAGAACTGCATAAATGCCAGCATTGCGATGTAAAATTCAAATCTTCCGTGACACTAGCTGCGCATCTAAAGTCTAAACACAAACAAAGAGCTTTCTTGTGTTTAGTTTGCAACAGATCATTTAGCACGGCAACAGAGGCGAAGCAACATCGTCAAACTTCAGAACACAGAGTAAAGAGAAAGGAGTTAATGAGGGAAAAGGGACTCCTTACTACAGATTTAAGTAAGAAGTGTCCGTATTGCTCAGAACGAGTTATTTTAAAGAATATTATCGAACTTAAAGATCACATACGAAGAATTCATCCACATATTAAGAAGAAGTAAGTAGCTACTCTAATAATTGATGCATTTTTACGGTAGTCATCGATTTACTTTTCTTAGTACCTTTTTTCATTTTGAATTACAGATGTCCCACCTGCGGAATGGCGTTCATCCTTTCTCAAGAAGTGTCTCGTCATGTTAGATCAAACTCTTGCCAATTTCAAAATCCTTCAAATACTTCCATCCGTTGGAACTGCAGTCAATGCCTGTTCACTACTGATTCCCAGGCAGAATGTTTCTTTCATGAAGTTCTACATTCCAATCCATCCTCAGAAGTCCAAGAAGTTAGTGGTCAACTTAAAGTTATCCAGAAATATTCCTGTCCAATATGTCCAAAGAGTTTTCGAAAGGCATCGTTACGTCACCATCTTAGGCAGCACACATTTGAAAGACCCTTCGTGTGCTCAATTTGTGGAGCTAATTTTACAAGACAGAGTAGCATGGCGAATCATATAAAGAGTGAACATGGCAGTAACATGTTGGATGTTAAACTAGAAAAAATTGAAGAAACTCCCAGTACCTCAACACCGCGAGAAGTCACATGCGAGAAATGCAAAAAGGAACTTGACGGCAAGTAAGTAGAACTAAGTGAAATTTCTCGATTTTACTACAGTTAAGTAATCGTTGTCTGGCGCATATCGTCATTCATGTGATCACATCCTGATCACACCCTTTCACGAATTTTATTGCTCCTTTTGCTTTCACTCCGCAAACATGCGGCGACGCAAACGAAAGATATTTCATTTAATTGCGAATTGAACTCCTTGTCGGAAGCATTAATACATGCACCTACAGAAATAATCGGGCGCATTAAAGCGTGCGCACTTCAAATGTCGGCATCAATTTGCGACAATAAGGCGCGTGGAGCGGATGCGTCCATGTCAAACGTCACACAACTCTTTCACAAATATCGGGAAACATTCATAATTTGACGCGACCGCTTTGATATGCGCGAGCGCACCACATTACCCCGGCGGACTCGGTGTTGCCAACGATGACGTTTTTATACCCTGAAGCAATAAATTCTCCCCGGATGCCTGGTAATGTTGGTATTTAGAGCGTCTCTGGATCAAAATATTAGTGGATTGGAGGTGACATGTGAAGTTTATTGTACGCACGTGTTGCGACGTAACGTATTGGGGATTTGCAGGTTGATGCGCCGTTTGATTTGACGGTGCTAAATCGCTTGTGGTTTATTTGCCGCGTCCAATGCTGCGTCGGAGTGTACAGATCATTCATTTGAAATGTCGCTCTATAAATACATCCGTGGGATTAGAGCGACTGTAGTCTTTATTCAGACGCGTCTGCATGTAAAAAGCTACATATATTTCAAGCGTAGTCGATTATCCATCACCCTGTATTTTGGATCCGTCTCGGGCTGTTAACTTGTCTGTTTTCATTAAACGGACAATAACTTCACCAATCATAATTTTATAAAGAATATTATGTTCGAAAATATATTTTTTTCTATATTTAATTAAATACTTACAGTGCAGGCATCGTTCAATGTGAACTTTACACATTTGGACACTGAACTTGGTACCTTATAATAAAAGTATTCTTGGCTACATTTGCCATATAAAAGCGAGCACAACCTCAAGACGGGCGAAGTCTCCAAGCCAAGCCACATTATTGTAATCAGGCGTCTAACTGCAGTGCATTAATGCACTCGCCATAACCCTGAAATATGGCCCAAGTTCGCTCATCAGCGGTGTTAGGATCCCTCAATGGCCATACTTACTGGCTCGGATATGGTATCCAGGCACACATGGAATAACTGCTTTATACGTACCCGAGAATTAACGGAGTTCGTAGACATTCTGAGAGAACTGTAGATTTCAGTTGTCAAAGATAAAACATTAAATATTTTCTACTTTCGTTAAGTTCACGTCATTCAAAACCAGATCTCGTAGCATTTGCACAATAATTATATATTGCTAAGACGTGCTATTTATGTTCAATTCATGTTAAAAATTTACAAAGGCCGTACCCAAATCCTGTTGGGACATTGCAATTTGTAATACGAATCTTATAATTCAGAGTCGTTACTTGGAAATTATGGTTGAGATTTGTAAAAATGAATTTTGCCTATGTTTAAGCAAGAAATTGAATTAAAATTTGAGTTTTCTTCGGAATTTCGTAAATACGAACTATTTTACGAAATTACTAAGAAAACTCAAAGTTTAATTCCTTGCTTAACGTCACATAGTGTTTTAGACGTTCAGCGAAAAGTAATCTGATAGTACACATGCAATTTGTGACAACAAATGGTGGGTCTACATATATTTTACGTCGTTTTTTAACCGTGGACGGCCGTATCGTAAAGGCGAGTTAGCGCTAACTACTCTGGACGGAGGCCAGTGGCTATGGCATTCCGTCTGCAACCCGCTGCCGCTGGAGGTATGCGACGTCCCGTTTAACACTATCCTACAACTTCTCTGTGACAGAAAGCCACGGACGATTAAAATAGAATTGGCCTAGCTTGATTCGTAATGAACCAGAGTAGGTACGATAGCGTTACATAAGTTAAATAATGGATCACGTTATTGCCAAAGCCTCGTATGACTCGCTGGTGTACAGGGACCTTTTTTAATACGCCGAGTGTTTTAAACCTAACAGTCTATATACCTATTAAATTTATTGCTGGATTATTGATAGGTGCTTACGCTAATGCAACTTGGTTTATTTTCCTAATAAAAAATACGAAATGAAATCAAGTATCGTAAAGCACTTTGCAAAAAGCGTTAGGCATCAGCGTTAGGCAGGTTTTACTGCATTCATTGCCAGGCAAGTGCACTTTAAACTTTAATGTCCTTGCGGTTTTGGTCACCTCTCTGCCTGGGACACACAGCTTGGAGAGATTTGCAAAAGAGTTGCATTTACCGGTTTGACACGTCATTTTATTAAGGATAACTTAACATTAATTTGATAACTAGGTAACTAACCTGCTCACGACGATGGGTTTATGTTTCGAGTTAAAATTAAAATTCAGTCAGAGCCATAAAACAAGTACATTACCGCTTATACGTATGTACTTTCAAAAATTTGGATACTGTAGGATGTAGAATAATTTTCAAATACAAAGAAAGGTTAAGGTTCAAGGCGGTGTGTATGCTACCGGGTGAAAAATAAAGCAGAGCAGACGGCTCGACGGGCTAGCCGGCTAGTGTTCACCCTCGAGTTATGGAAAAGGTGCTTGGGATTTATGACATCCACCTGTTTAGTTGAAACAGATGGCACTAACATGATTTAATACAATATAGATAAGCTAGAATCTTTTGTATGTTGTCTTATTACAGAGCCGCCTTAACACGTCACATATCAAGATGCATGATAGGAGTTGAAAGGCTGTGTCCACACGTTGATTGCTCCTACGTAGCTACAACAGCAGCACAACTTGCGAGGTAACATTTATAGTTATTAATTTTTAATACAATGTATTTTTTTGCTAATTTTTATGTGCTTTAAGTTTCCACCCCTGAAAATTACAGTGCAAGTATACGCTGCATAGTGTACCATTAATTTTTGAAGCGCCACCTTTTGAGTAATATTAAAACTACATCAAAGTACGCGTAACCTAATAACTTCAGATTAAAAAACTGACAAGCTCTCAATGATTCTTAGTAGTATTTCAAAATTACGATAGATGGCGGTAGTTGTTGGTATTAAATGAAATACTTTTATTATACTCTACTTGATGGCACTGTAAATAATAATTGCAATGTACTTTTTAGGTTTGAAATCTCACTCACTAGATGACATTGCTTGGGACATAAATTGTTTTAATTATTTTTTCTACTTTCAGACATCGTCGAGCACACGGTGAACGGATCAAGCATCACAGTTGTTCGTTTTGCACATTTAAGACAGATCAAGCAAGTCATTTGAAAAGACACATGTTATGTCACCAAGGTGTTAAACCCTATGCTTGTCCTCATTGCCAGTTCACCTGTGGTAGTTTGGTAAGATTACACTTTTAAATACTACTCTGCAATTTTATTATTTTATTTTCCCATAAAACCTTAAATGACATCTTTTCCAGGAGAACCTTCGCAAGCACGTACTCCGAAGTGGCCGACACGTCGGTCTTTATCTCTACAAGTGCCACCTTTGCCAATACCAAATTAACACGGCTAAAGCCTTACGTGGTCACCTTGTTGAAGATCATGCTGATAAATTTGACATGAAAACTGCGGTGCAGGCTGTGAAGACTCACTTGATGGTTGTAAGAGATCAAGGAAAATAAAGAAAAAAGTTTATAGTATGTACGTAAATAGATACCTCGTTCAAGACTAAAATGTACTTAGTTGTTTCTCTAAATAAATAATCCAAATATTTATAGAATTTTTTTTATTCAAGCGGGCAATGACCGGTTTATAGTACAAAACGTTCCTGCTAGATGGCGCGCCCTGTTGAGGAGTCTACATTTTTGGTAGAAAATGATACCATTTAAAGTGGCAACACAGTACACAGCTTCCGTCTGTCAAATTGACCGAACGGGGTGAGCGAGGGAAAATAATCGAGCGAACGCGTTTAGCTGTGTGGTTGTGTTACGTGTTGGTTTTGCGTCACGGAGCTAAATAAAAATACACATTAACGAAATTTATTGTAAGAGACTGTTACACATGCAGATATTTAGTCACAAATAAGTTCAAAAAATTGCTATTACGTAATTTTCGTGTAAACGTTAGAACTGGCAATATTGGCAACTGGGAGTGTAGTGTACGAAATTAATTTTTTTTTCAGAATAATGACTGTTAATCTTTACGTGTTCTGAGTGGAAAATCGATTGACTTATATTAAAATGTCGCTTAAGGTAAGGCGTTTATTTTTCTGTTGGATGTAAATTATTTCTTTTAGCGAAAAATACCTACCTATCTTTCCATTTCGTTTTATGGAGGTAGTATCATTATGATATAAGAATGCAGGTATAACGGCTTTTTTTATAATGACTGAAGAGTGGCTTCATGAGTAAGTGTCACTATCTCAATAATTAAAAAAAATATGTAGAGTATTACTCGTTCGAAGTCCTTGCCGCCAAATGTAAACAATCAACATTAAAAAGAAATAGTCGTTATAAAAAAAGATCACAATATTCGTGTACTGTAATTAAAGTTAATTTCAGTAGGTACTGTACATGACTGCTAACAGATTGACTGCATGTGTGCAGTTCATGCGTGAAGTTTGAATCAAATTCATGCAATAACTGCGTGCTGTCGATCTCTGTTGAAACCGCTTCATGTAGTCGAAGTCTGGGCTGCATGAAGTTGATTAGGACTTTACGTATTAACTGCAAACGTGCAGTCAATCTGTTAGCAGCCTATGAAACGCTGTCACACGATCACCTATGAATAAGTGAATTATACTTAAGAGCGTTACTACGTGCATTAAATAATTAAGGTAGGTACCTACACCATTGATGTGTACAATCATAATGCCTATTTCTAATAATATTTACCAGCTTAGGGAACAACAGGGTTCTTCGAGCAGTAAGACTCCGACACACTGTTCTAACTTGATTTATAATTTACACGTAAAATTGAAGCTACCTGAACATTTTTTTGTCTTTTGTTTTCTCAGCAATTCACAATAAGTAATATGGCTAAAGGGTGCCTGAGGCGGTCTTATTTTTTCTTTTTTTATTATACCAGAGTGACGGAACGAACAAGTCGTGCGCCTGGTGGTAAGCGACACGTCAACCCGTAGCAGTTGCAGTGCCACTCACGAGCTTTAAATCGCAGAGACCTGGACACCAAATCTTAAACCACTGGTCATTGTAATTCCACTGGGACTCCACTGAGATGATAATTGTGGTAATATTTGCTATTCTGCTAAAATCTAGCTGCAATGGCAGTTGAGTTCAGTGGAATAGCAGTGATGGCATTTACTTCATGACCGATGTGACTTTACTAAAATTATCAATGCCCATTACTATGCCCATCTTAATTTTTATCTCGTCGATTTAGTCTTCCAATTAAAAAAGTGCTTCATTTGTTAATATATAATTATATATTTTTTGTGTTGTTTATAGTGTTGGAAGATGTGAAGAGAATGATAAATTTGAAAAAGACGCCTCTCGATTACAGTTACAAATTTATGAAGTAACAATTGAATTTGACCTTTATGACCTTTTTTTATTGACCTTTGGGGGTTGATGTTGCTCGCTTCCGTAGGTTTACCCTTGAGACCCTACAAGTGACCCCTGGGTGGTGCTAAAGAGCAATAACTACTGGTGGTAGGCTTCGGCCGTGGCTAGTCACCACCCTCCCGACGCAGTCGAGTCGCCAAATGGTTTTTACCGTGTTCCGACTCGTGTTCGGGAGTTGCCATTTGGAGGTCGGGTCTGAACAGTTGCATTGCGTCTGACGGCGAGTTGTAGCTGCTTGTACTGCCACACTGAGCACTCGGTTCTGGAGGCTAGCGGGATCCGAAGCACGGTGCACCGCTGGCCGACCGTGGGAAGTTGGGGGCCCAAGTAGCGGGAAAGCCACCCGTGAAAGGCTGCCCCGCCACCCAACGAAAAATCCCGGAATGCTCCACCTTGCCGGTTGGCGACCGGAAGGGAGGACCAGGTGGCCATCTCCGGGGGGGTTCGGGCGTCCCCGCGGTCTCCAAGCCGATTGTAACCTCGTGTGGCAGTATGAGTCTGCTGCTTGGTTGAACACGACGCAGTGCCTCGTTCAACTGCCTTCCTCCTGCCTATTCACTTCTCCAAATCCAAAAATGAAAAACTATAAAAATGGAAAAAAGTATACACAGCGGTTGCACGTCCTCCCACTAAAAGTGCACCTCACTAACATCCGAGGTCTGCACTCAAATCTCGATTCGGTCCACTACCACCTTGAAACCGACAAACCGCAGCTGCTGTTCCTCACAGAGACGCAGATCAGATGTCCGACTGACGCAGCGTACCTCAGCTACCCCGGGTATACTCTGGAGCACAGGTTCGTACCTCGTGCCGGAGTCTGTGTGTACGTTCGCGATGACATCTGTGTCAAGCGTCTCAAGAACCTTGAGGCACCGAGTTTTTCAATTTTGTGGCTTCTGGTTGACACAGGAGTTACACAAATAGTGTACTGCTGTGTTTACCGATCGCACAGTGGAGATCAGGAGACGACCAAGCTGTTCCAATATCTAAGTGAGACGTCTGATGAGATTCAGCATAGGTACCCAGCGGCACAACTAGTCATTCTGGGGGACTTTAATGCACACCATCAAGAATGGTTGTTCCCATACCAGAAGACCGATCACGCTGGGAGAGAGACGCGTAAACTTGCGTTAACGCTAAGCTTATCCCAGCTTGTCAGTGGCGCCACTAGGATACCAGATGTTGAATCTCATACGGCTAATTGCTTGGACCTTCTGCTGACAACTGATCCGGACCGATACTCTGTGGTTGTGGAGGCCCCACTGGGTACTTCCGACCATTGTCTGGTGAAAACTGTATCCGTATACTCCCCACCCGATCAGGGCCCTAGTGGTATGAGACGGGTGTGGCGATACAAGTTAGCAGATTGGGACGAAATGCGCCATTTCTTTGCGTCATATCTCTGGCAGGCGTGCTTTACTTCAGGAGACTCGTCGAGCTGTGCTGATGCTGTAGTCGAGGTCTTGCGTTTGGGTATGGAGTATTACATTCCATACTCTGATGTACCCAATGGACCCCAAGCTCGTCCATGGTTTAACGCTAATTGTAGTTGTGCTGAAGCACGTAAACAGTCCGCGTACCAAGCTTGGGCAGATGCTCGACTACGCAAAACTCCGAGTACTCAGAACATGAAGAAAGCTTTTAATAAGGCCGCCAAGAAGTGCAAAAGCATGTTACGTAGGGCCAAGTTCGACCATGTGCGCCGCATAGGAGCCAAGCTTGCCTCTTATCCAGCAGGCAGCAAATCCTTTTGGTCCCTGGCCAAAGCGGTCGAATCGAACTTTTGTCGCCCATCTTTGCCACCTCTGCTGAGGCCGGATGGCTCGCTGGCTCATACTGCGGAAGAGAAGGCGAATCTCTTTGCCTCACTCTTTGCAGAAAATTCGCGTCTAGATGCCGCAGGGACCCTACCACCTACTTTACCTCAGGCTGGCTGCACTATGGCGCCAGTTCGCATACGCCAAAAAGAGGTACTTAGAACTCTGCGAAATCTAGACGTGAATAAAGCTAGCGGGCCAGATGGAATTCCAGCAATAGTCCTTCGTAACTGTGCACCTGAGTTGTCTCCTGTTCTCACACGCCTGTACCGCCTCTCACTTGAGACTGGTGTAGTTCCCAGATCGTGGAAGCTTGCAAACGTGCAACCTGTACCAAAAAAGGGAAGCAGAGCTGACCCTGTCAACTATAGACCTATCTCAGTCACTTCCATACTCTGCAAGACTATGGAACGTGTACTCAACAACCGTCTCCTATCGTACCTTGAAGACAACGATCTCCTCAGTGATCGCCAGTACGGATTCCGACGAGGGCGATCTACTGGGGATCTTCTTGTGTATGCCTGTCACATATGGAGCGAGGCTATAGAAAAGCAAGGCGAAGCACTTGCAGTGTCTTTGGACATTTCTAAAGCCTTTGACAGGGTCTGGCACGCAAGCCTTTTAAGCAAGCTTCCCTCTTATGGGCTTCCCACTGACCTTTGCAATTGGATCTCGGATTTCTTGAGCGAACGTTCGATTCGAGTGGTCTTAGAAGGCTACTCTTCCGAACATATGGCGATAGATGCCGGAGTTCCTCAGGGTTCCGTACTGTCTGCAACTCTCTTTCTGCTGCATATCAATGATATGTTAATTCCAGGTACCTTTGCGTATGCTGATGACAGCACAGTTGTAGATAGGTACTTGACCAATGCAAGGGTCAGTGGAGAGGAAATCCAGTCTTGTCGAGAGTCCATGGTTAGCCGTTTAGATTTGACACTCCAGGCAGTCTCCGATTGGGGCAATGCCAATCTTGTCAAATTTAACGCTACCAAAACGCAGGCGTGTCTATTCTCCACAAAACGGAGTCCCTTTGAGCTGACTCCGACTTTTCGTGATATATCCATACCGATAGCCGATTGTCTCCAGCTACTTGGAATGGACCTGTCGTCCAATTTGAACTTCGGCAGATACATTGAATCCACGGCCAAAAATGCAGCAAGGAAGCTTGGGATCCTTTCCAGGGTGAGGCGGTACTTTACACCGGGACAGTTGCTCCAGCTGTACCAGGCACAAGTCCGATCGTGCATGGAGTACTGCTGCCACCTTTGGGATGGCTCTGCGACATATCAACTGGCCACTTTGGATTCAATTGACAACCGTGCCAAGAGACTTATAGGTGACTCGGAATTAGTGGAGGCGAAGCTGCAGAGCCTTGAACACCGCCGTAAAGTTGCCTGCTTATCGGTATTTTACAGGATATATCACGGAGAGTGTGCGATGGAATTACATGATTTAATTCCGCCTTCCCCTTTCCATCACCGGGGGACTAGGCGTAGGCTTGGGTTCCACCCCTATGTTGTGGATATTCCAAAGATTCGCACGAAGCGTTACGCTTCCACATTTATATGGCGAACGGCTATGGAGTGGAATTCCCTGCCTGCAGACTTGTTCCCTGAACGTTATAACTTGGACCTTTTCAAGGCGAGAGTGAATAGGCATTATTTAGGTGTGCATGCTCCATCGTCGACCTCATCGTCACTTTCCATCAGGTGAGATGGAGGTCAAATGCGCACCTATATTTTATAAAAAAAAAAAAAAAAAAAAAAATTTATGCTTTAACCGATAGATGTATTAATTCAAATGAATGATGTTGAATTTTGACTTTTATACCTCTAAATAATATCAGTACCC